GTACAAATTTTTGCGAAAATCTGAACATGTTTGCGAAAATTTTCAATTTTTTTCGAGAAGTTGCATCTTTTCTGTAAAAATCTGAAGGTTTTTGCTGTCTAGATGGAATACTAATCTTGGAGAGAAAATGCGAATCCAACCTTCATAGGAAGACTTTGCAGGCTGTACAACCTGATAAACACGAAGCAATGGATTTTGTTTGGCAGGCTTAACCTTTGCTGGAACGGCGTCCACTTCTGCCTTTAGCTCTGCCTCCTCCTTCCCACACCACAGCTTGAGCTTTGTTGTTCTAGCAGGTTACGCGGAATATCACCTTAGCCCTACAGCTGAGACCCTGAATTACCTGGTTCTGGCTAATCTTTTTCTGGAAATTTTGCGCGGGAACTACCGTACATAATTTGTTAACTTGTGAATTCTAGATTTTTTGGGATAATCTGACGATTTTTGCCAACGTAACGGTTTTGTCAAGATCCAGGAGTTTTGAGCAAATTGGATTACGCGACTTTGGTTTGGTGCGAATTCGCGAAAATTCTTTGGATTGTTGAATATAGGCTTGTGATGGCTTGTGGACCCGGAGCCCGAAACTTCGAAAATTGCGAAAATGTACAAATTTTTGCGAAAATTTACACATTTTTGCGTAGATATACAGATTTTACGAAAATTTGCAGTTTTTGTGGAAATCTAAATTTGTTTGAAAATTTACAAAATTTTTGCGAAAATTTACAGATCTTTGTAAAAACTTGCAAATTCTCGCGCGAAACTTTACAGTTTTTTTGCTAAAACTTTTACATTTTTGCGAAAATCTACGTATTTTTGCGACTATTTATAAATTTTGAAATTTTACTCGCAAGCAGATTTTTGCAAGAATGTACAAATTTTTGCGAAAATCTGAAGATGTTTGCGAAAATTTTCAATGTTTTTTCGAGAAGTTGCATCTTTTCTGTAAAGATCTGCAGGTTTTTGCTGTCAACACACATTATTTTTCTTTTTAATGAGCTTGCGCACAAAGAAAGGCCGCAGCCCAATCGCTTCTCCCTCTCCCAGGATACAAAGCCACTTGGGGCACAGAACAGTGCCCTATAGGGCGGGCAGGGCGGGCGCAGAAATTTGACACTCACAGCAATTTCTGCGCTGAGAACGGCTGCAGGCGAGTGTATGGTTCATGCGCAAGCTGACGCTGTACGCAGGCCCACCACAACACACACTGCACGCCTTTTTAATGAGCTTGCGCACAAAGAAGGGCCGCAGCCCAATCGCTTCAAGCTCTCCAACCAACGGGTTCAGACACCTGAACAATACACCTGACTCCGCCCACGCCCAAGGCAATTACAGTATTTCCATAATGTCCACGAAGCAACGCTTGCGCAGATCCACACCAACTGGTATCTCGTCCCGGCTGAGGCGATCCGCCCAGACATTTCGCTCACCAGCAACATGCGAGCAATGAAGTGTAAGATTCCACCTGCAGCAATAATATCCCAGCGCCTGAAGAACAAAAGACAAAGGCTCCTTTTGACTCATGGACTTTACCGAGGCAGCAGTAACCCCAGCATTGTCACAGAGCTGACGAAACTGCACCGTGACTGTAGAATACACCAATTGAGCCTGCCTACGACGCAGCGCAAGAAGAATCAACTGCGCAAGCGCTTCCAAGGCCGCAACACAGGCTTGAAGCGAAGAATTGCCATCCGCGCGAAACCAGGAAGGCAGTGACTTCCTGGTCAGCTGAACGCTGAACCAACAAATCTCCGCCGCGTCCACTGGAGCGCCATACGGCAACCACCATCCTCCCAGGCCAGCATGCTCCGCATCTGCCCAAGCATCGGCTGCAGCTAAGCCCGATGAATGAGGAGCAAATTGGAGCGGAATAAATGTACACAGAGATGGCGTTGTAAAACAAAGTAGCCGCCTTAACTGATTGCCGATCAACCAGACATGTCGAGCAACCATAGTTGTACAATACCACGCTAACGCACCCACGCCGAATGCGCGGAGAAACGAGAGCGACTGACTGTAAGGAAGCGATCACTTCATTGTTCACTGAGTGCAGTCTCCAACCAGTGCAAATGTCGCAAAAAGGCAAAGACCGCATAATTCTCAAATCATGGCCCAGTACCTGAACCAGCGAAAAGAAATCATCTACAAGAAGCAATCTAGTCACAGCCTGTGGTTTGCGCAACAACTTGTAAAGGGCCGCTAGCCAGGCCCGAAGCCAGAAGCTCCGCCGCAAAACCAACCAAGAAATCCCACAGCCTTCTCGACCTGCCGCGGCGTTGCACCTTGCTGCCCTTGTGAAGCAAAGGACGCAGGGCCTCAAGAGCCTTTTCCACCTTGTCTGCTGGCAAACTAGCTTGGCAGGTATCCGCGTGGAACTTCCAACCAATCCAAACCAGGCACTGACCAATGCGCAGCTTGCCCCAGCTCAAAGGCACACCAACACCGCATACAAACATTAGAGAATAAAGCGCCAGGAGTGGCCCCGCAACAGTGGGCAAGAACTCCAGCCCATCATCCATAAAGAGAAACAATCCATGCTTCACCCAAATGACTCGATGAAGCATCTGAACCAACCAAGCACCCACTCGGCTGAACCAATACGCAGTTTACAGCCAAAATAGCAACTTCAATAACAATACTACACACCATGAAGTACAAAGCAAGAATAATCCTGCTCATCACTTCTCACACGCACCAACTTGAAGTCGCGGCTTTTCCCAGGCAACTGAACCACACCTAATTTCCCTGCAACAACACGATCTCTCCATCTCTCATGAGCTTCAGCTTCACCTCCATGAATAACAAACGCATGCCCGGCAGCAACATCCTCCATGACCAGTTGTTTTGCCAAAGGCAAATTATCAGAAGCACCTCGCCATGGCTCAGACGCCCACGCAGATCCTGCTCAATAGCGATAGACTCCGCCATGGCTCAGACGCACACGCAGATCCTGCTCAATAGCGATAGACTCCGCCACCAATAGCCGAAGATTCAAGAGAACCAGCCAACAAAAAAGCTGACTCCGTGGACTCATTCACAACTTCGGCACTAACACAAGGCAACTTACAAGAAGAGGAAGCAGTCTCATCACCAGATAATCACTGCTGCTTTCCAGGACAAAAATTCGACACCATGATCATCTTTCCAACAAAGCTGGCAGCGATGAGCGAATCTGCAATCCTCAGCCGAGAACTTGCATTTGCGTTCCTTGTGTGATGCCTTTCAGAAGCACAAATGCAAGTTCTCGGCTGAGGATTGCAGATTCGCTCAT